ACCATCGAGGTGGGATTTGGGTTTGGTCGTTTCGTGGTGGGTTCTGTGCTCAGGTGGGGGTTTGGGGGGTAAATGTTGAGGGTTTCTGGGTTGAGGGTTCTGCAGGTTAAGGAAAAAAAAGGAGTGAAAATGGGATTTGATTTAATAAACCCCCAAAAAGGCCCCCAAGGGATGAAATCAGCCTTGAACTCCAGGTGAAGTTTCTCCTGAGGGTTTTCTCATTCCTCTGCTAAAGGGAACTGGGGTGAGGCCAAGGAAACCAGTCAAACCAGTGGGGAGGGGGGGATGCTGGGACCAACCCTCAGCAGGATCCCATTGATTGAGCCCATTTTCTGGGATGAAAACCCTGATTTCATAGAATCATGGAATCCTAGAATTGATCATAGAATCATATAGATCATAGAGGTTGGAAAGGAGCTCTGAGGAGCATCAAGGACCCAGGGCAGGTCACACAGGAACCAGATGGGTCTTGGAAGCCTCCAGAGAAGAGACTTCACAGCCTCTCTGGGCAGCCTGGCCCAGGGCTCTGTCACCCTCACAGGGAAGAAGTTTCTCCTCATGTTGAGGTGGAACTTCCTGTGTTGTCACTTGGTGCCATTTCCCCTCGTCCTGTCACAGCCACCACTGAACACAGACTGGCCCATTCTTGATGCCCACCCTGCAGATGTTTATAGACATTCATCAGGTCCCCTCTCAGTCTTCTCTTCTCCAGACTGAACAGCCCCAGGTCTCTCAGCTTTTCCTCTTCAGATGTTCCAGCCCCTTCATCATCCTTGTGGCCTCTGTTGGGACTCTCTCCAGTAGATCCCTGTCCCTCTTGAACTGGGGAGCCCAGAACTGGACACAACCCTTCAGATGTGGTCCCACCAGGGTAGAAGAACCTCCCTGGACCTGCTGCCCACGTTGTTCTTCCTACACCCCATTGATTCCCTTGGCCACCAGGACACATTCCTGCCCCATGGATCACTTGTTGCCCCCCAGGACCCCAAGGTCCTTCTCCATGGGGCTCCTTTCTAGCAGGTCAACCCCTCATCTTAGATCAGTGGTGGCTCCTTCAGGCCTTGAGTTTGCAAAGCACCTCCAGCCCTGCCCCCCCAGGGCACCTTGAATGGGCCCAGAAAAGGTTCAATATGTAAATTAACCCCTTCAAAAACCTTTCTGAGAGGGGAAAAAAACCCCTCAGGACTTGATGATTTTAATCTTTTCTTTTAATACCTTCAACAAAAATCACCCAATCGGCCCCAAAAACGGGTCTTGGGGGGGGTTTGAGAGTTTCCTGCTCTTTTTTTCTGATAATTCAGCTTTTTTTTTTGCCTGCTGAATGAAGAGAAACACTGATTTCCCAGGACCTGGCAAGAAAAAGCCTTTCCCAGTTGCTATTTTGGGGGCCTTTGTCTCAGAACCCCCCTGGGAGGAGCTGCTGAAGGACCCGAGGTGGCTCCAGGGGGTTGGAGGAAACCAAAGGAACCATTGGCAGAAGAAATTCATTAGAAGGGATTGAAGGGATTAAGGAGGATTTTCCCAGCACCTTTTTGAAGGCCAAAACGTTTTGACACATGACCCAGGAGGGGGTGGGTTGGGTTTTTGATTTTCTCCTCATTATTTGTGCTCAGAATTCATTTAGGGGGGGAATTAATTGGTTCTCCTGTCCAGCCCAGCAGCAGGTTTTGGGGATCCTGCTGTGGGGACCCCTGAAAGTTCACCCAGTTGAAAGCAAAGCACCTTCCCCTCCCTCCCCCAAAAGGTTGGTTGAGGAGCAGGAGGGGTTTATTCCCAAGGGCTGGAGCTCAAGGGGTGGGAAAGGTGAAGTTGGGGAGCAAGAGGCTGCAGCTCCTCAGGGGGGGGAAAGAAACCAGCCAGGAATGAAGACCATGAGGGTGGGAGATCAAGGTATGAGGTGGTTCAAGAGCAGGTTCTGCAGTGTCCTCACTTTCCTTCAATCATGGGTTGGCTTGGAGGGACCTTAGAGCATCCAGTCCCACCCCCTGCCTGGGCAGGGACACCTCCCACCAGCCCAGGCTGCTCCAAGCCCCACATTAGATACCTGGAACACTTCAGGGATGGGGCAGCACCTTGAAGATCATCTGGTGGGATCATCTGGGTGGGCTTGAAGGTCCTTCCAACCCAAACCATCCCAGGAGCTGAATTCTATGATTGTAGGTCTTGCATGATCACATGGTGTGACAATAGAATCATGGAATGGGTTGGGTTGGAGGGACCTTGAAGAGCATCCAGTCCCACCCAGGCAGGGGCAGGGCACCTCCCACCAGCCCAGGCTGCTCCAGCCCCAGCCAACCTGCCCTTCCACCAACCTCAGCCAGTTCCTCACAACCCTCCTGGTGAAGAATTTCTTCCTAAAACCCAACCCAAACCTCAAACTAAGAACGTTCAACTCACCAGGGGGTGGGTAGGAAAGTGGTGGGAGAAGCTCCTGGATCAGCTCCCCAGGGGGGACACTTGGGTGGGTGACTCTGCTCACCAGGCCCAGCAGCTCCAGGTGGGAATGGAGGAGCTTTGGTGCTCCTGGAAGAGCTTCTTGTTCTTCCCCAACTCCCCAGAAATCATCCCCAGGAGATCAGGGAGGGACCTGATCCCAGAGGTTGGAGCTTCCATCAAACCAGGACACTCCAGACAAGTGTCCAAATCTGCCTGGACAAGGAGGATTTGGTTGGAGAAACCCCCCCTGGGGGAAATCCCACTTCTTCAACCCATGGGGGGTTTATGTCACACTCCTGCAAGATGAAGGTCCCAGTGGGAACCACCACGACCAGTGGCCCTCAAAGCCTGTGCCTGGGGGGGCTGTGCTGACCCCCCC